TAGTGTATTTTTTTTTGGGGGGGGGGTCTCTCTCTTCTAACTACTCATGTGCCTTTTTTCGGAAAGCTCCTTAGTTTGCACTTCAAGTGATAATATGCGAGCTCTTGAAACCATACATCTCCAAAGATGGCCACCTCATCAGAAAATCTTACTCTGTGTTTCTATTGAAGTCGCAGCTTATCATTCTCTGTGTATATTTGAATTGCTGAGATGTGATATAGTTATTAAATTGTATTTTTTTACCCTAGAGGTATTTTGGCTGACTTTCATCACATTTTATGAGGGGCTCAATTTTTAGTCTACTCATGATATCAGGCAAAACTTAAATTCAGGCTAGAAGGTCATTAGATGTGATTTTGCAATATGGAGATGAAACAGAAACTGGTTTCCGTGAAATAAGTTGTTCTATTACCTTGAAAATTTATTGAAAATCTCACCATGAGTGAAACATCACGTGGTCATGCGTTTTGTAAGCATTAGAGAGACGGTCATGTGGGACGACCGTGAGATGGCACGTATCAATCTAAATTTCCTAAAATATTATGCTAGTGTAATTTATTTCGAGCCCAATGCGTTTTGGCACCGCAATGATAAAATCAACGATTCAAGAAAACGCTTACCAACCATCATGAGCGTGTATAAACCACCCTCTTCTGTCGGCCACCAAACTGAAGGAGTATGTTGTGCGTACCTCGGATCCACCTTATTTCCCATGTTTACAGTGAAAGTTGAATACTGAACCTAGGAAGTTAACGGAAATAAATATTTTCAATCATTTTTAGCATGATCTAAATTAATGAGTACCTATACTAAACACTTAAGAATAGGTTTGAATCATGAAATTATGCTAACCATGACTTTTAATCACACAACTGACGAACAATAAAATATACGGACTGAAATAGACTAGACGCGGCCTACATTTCAGGAGAAAAAGAGTAGAATATAATATAATTTTCACCAGTACTTTAAGCAGACTTGTGGCTTTAGTTTCGCCGTTGCACCTGGGAAATCATATACGTGTATTCACTCTTCTGACGTCGCAGATTTCCTGTCGCATGACCAGACGAATGGTCATCGGTTTTGCTCCAAATTTCGTGAGGTTTATCAGAATTCTTCTTTTGAAATTTCAAGTAAAATGTCAAGATTAGCTCTCCCAAAGGAAAAACAATCCCAATAAAGTAGGTTAAAGGAGAGTTCACATATATCATGGTCAGATACAATTGGCTTGGCGCTTTTTGCAATAAATCGATTAATCTGCCATTTAAACCTAAAGCTTAGGGTGGATACACAGGGTGTTCGCAACGAACACCTTTCATTATCGATTTCGTTCCACAGCTTCAAATGAGCAGGTATATTCATAATCGATCATTTACGCCTCGGCACTGTCAGATACCTAATTATTCTGCAGTTTTTCTACCGACAACATTGTGATACATTTCAGTAATGCACCTCTCGGAGAATTGACAATTTTACGATTAAAATCAGTGATGGTTTACTTCAGTGGCACAAAGGCAAATCTGGAATTAAGTTAAGGTGCAAAGAAACAATTGAAGCTTTAGTTAGTGTCGCACACTGTCGCACGGCACGCGACGAAAACTACACGAATTACATTATAACGCCTGGATGGAACTATTTGGGCTCAACGGACTTCCGTGTTACATACGACATGTAGGAAAGTGAGGGCGTTTTGACTTTAGACATGCACTATCCGCCCTAACCACCTCACCAGCGGTCCAGCGCACAGTGCGGCATCCTTATGGACGATGCGGACAAAAATTGGTAAAAGACACTTAACTATCATCATTAATATAATCTTCGAAGGATTTAGACTTTCAGCGATTCTACCTTTTTCTATTTCACTTGAGAGGTTGCCAGATTGTGTGGTAAATATGAATATGTTACAAGGATTTGATTTGAGAAAAGTGCTAAAAAAGCAACTTATCTGGCAACAATAGAGTCCGGGAGGGACAAAAGGCTGCCTTCCTGGGAAAACCCATGATTTAGCCGGAAATGTCATTGAAACAATTGATTCCGTTTGAAGCATCAATTTTATACTAGGGGAAAGCTATTTTAAAATAATAATTGTAAATGGACACAGATGCTACAGAAAGGGAAAAAGGAAAGGGAAAGGAAATGAAATGAGGATATGATTACTAATATGCAATCAGAGAGAATAAAACAATAACATCAGAGAAATTTATATGCGATGAAAATATAAGAAAAAAACACGAGTGGGCTCATTGCAATTCGGAACTCGAACTATACAATCGTTGAGCAGTTTTTAGACCCCTACGCCACCGATAATCTTCTTAAGAGGTAAAGATGAACTTTTGCTACTTCAGCAAGTCAAATCGCGGGAGGAGATCAATGGACTGTCGAGTCGATGGAATGACGTCCCAGTCAAATGCGTTTTTGAAGAAATGATCGATCCCCATCATCGCTTCATCTCCACACATCTATTCATGTGCAAATGATGGCACGCTCCGGCAACAAGGTTCTGTGACGAAATAATGTTTTCCTCCAGAGTCTCCAAAATGTATACATCTTAGTGATCAAATGTCCAATCACTGAGAAAAATGGCTCGCGGAGCGAGCCGAATGTCATTCGCGTAGCGAGTGATCGGGGGTCCAGGGGGCGCAGCCCCTTGGCTGGCCGTGACGGACGCGTAAAGCGCGTCCAGAACGGCTAGTAAATAATGAAGATAGTAGCACACATTAAACACACATTATATTTTCCTTTCACATATATGTATTTTTTTTATCAATTTAATTGAAAGTAATCCATGTAGAGTGTGCAAAACTTTAAAAATCATGTGTTGAAAAACGCTGATCATGTGAGTTTAAATAATAGTGCCTAGCATAAAGCGGAGTGACGCGACGTGCTGCACTGCTGCCAGCATGAAACGCGGACTGGCGCCTACAAACCTAAGGGGATACTTCACGCATTGCGCAATGCTTGAAGTATCCCCTTAGGTTTGTAGGCGCCAATGCGCGTTGCGTGCTGGCCGGCCGCGGTGCCCAGAGAAACAAGTCAGTGAGAATAGTAGGAGTCGGACAAAATGTGAAGAAGTTAAAAGCTAGCTCACATCGCATGTTAATACTGAGAATAGAGGTTTTAGGAGTGGCTTCCTTGATTTTCTCGTAAAATTTCTTTTAAAAACAACCATATAAAATTAATCATGTGAAGAAATAACATCAAAATTTGCAAAGCTAGTCGAAAATTTCATGCCGAACCTTTCTGAAAGGCTTGTTTGAGTGTGCGGTGGGTTTTAAATGTAGTATATTTCTTACTGATCACCGACCTTAGTGTAATTTTGAATCGTATAACTAATAACAGTAATTTTTCCGTGAACGCTATATGACAACATTCTACTGTTTTAGTCGTTTTCTTGAATGACGTATCTTATATTAATGTCTTATTTATTGTGTCTTTCCAGGTGTTGAAGTTCCAGTTTTGAAATTTTATCTGAAATGATGAAGACAACATTAGGATCAATTTTATAGTGTTGAAAATGAAAACAGGTCGAAAACCTGTTTATTTTCCTTTGAAAATATATTCTTAAGAAGGCTTAATAGGACTGAGTCAACGTTTTCCTCAATTTCGATTAAAGTTTTCATTCCCCAAGCATGTAATTGACAAAATGAAAACTCATGATAAAAATTGACGCATCAAAAATTGTTGATCATTCGAGTTTGAACAGTAGCAACATTTCTTAATCTTCCTGACTGAATTTAGTACAGAGTGTCTAAAGCACCTTTTGGAAAACATCGTCATACCTCTCAGTTCTCAACATTTTTCCAAGCACCTCAATTTTTCCGTTTTTCGTTTACAGACCCTTTTGAAATTGCTAACTGGAGCTATTGCCCCTCATGGATTTTTGCAGGTTACTCGTTCTAGTCGTGCTCTCTCATGCATTGCTTCTAAATACTGAAAAATGATCATACCTTAAGATAACGATACAATATATGTTTTGAAAATGATTATTGCATTAAAGCTTATCAATTATGTTCTGTATCCACTATGTTACACGTTTTGTCCCTTAAAAATTAACACAATTTAGTCGACAACATCAGTCACAGATATCATGGAATGTGGCGAACATGTGTCACACTTTTGACTTTCAACTCTTTCGTGTGAATAACCCGGGTACGGCGCGAGGAATTTTGATGTCTTATCAACCGCAGGCTCATTATCACACCAGTAAATTTTGAACGCACACTACAATTATCTAAAGCCCTCTTGCCTAATAGTCTGTTGATCAAAGTGGGACACTCAAAAAGGACACTCTTCAATTGAAGAAGGACTTGTGAAACTTGAACCGGAGTGATTCAAAACAATAAATAATATGTTCATAATTAAATGTTGATTAATTGCATTGCATCCCTTCTGTTTGCCTTGATTAACTACTCATTTTGTACTTCAAAGTTCAGACTATATTTAGTGTTTATAGCATGGTTTATATTTTTAACGGTGTTTGCTGTTTCCTTACAAACTTGATCCACTTGTATTTTTGAGACTAATGCACCAGGTAAGGCCAATTTTTATTACATTTCAGGTTAATAAATTAATTATTTACTTCTTTATTCTTTTGAATATTGTAGGAACAAATGACAAGTTTGTCGTCAAAAATTTAATCGTTTTTACACCGTACACAATGGGATCCTTCATACGGACATCTAATCCGCCTTCAATTCGTAGGATAGGCAACATGACTATTTTAGATGTCACAGCAGTGACATCAATCATTATTTGGACTACATTTTGCAATTTGGAACTATTAATTCTAGCCCGGTTTGAAAACAATGTATAAGCCATTAGTTTCCCTTTGAGCATAAGTGTTTTTCCAGAAGAGCCAGAATTTATAGTTCCAAATTGCAAAATGCTATCCATTTTTCTCTCTTTCTCTCCCATCAAAGTCTCCTCCGTTTCTGTTTTTCTTTTTTTGAATGCAGGAGCGCTCCTTAACGAGTATGCGTCTTAAAAACTTGTGCAAATGACTAAAAATTGTCGAGTAATAGTTATTTTGGTCGAAAAAAGGTTTTCATATTTTATTTTTGAACAAATATTTTTAACAAGGTAACAAGGATTAAATTGAGCGGGAGGCCTCAAAGTCACATTTTCAAGAAATGTGAGTTGTGAAAGATTTTATGCTCGAGTGCATTTTATTCTCCTGCCACAAAATTAAAACCCATGAAACAAAATGTAGCATTCCAAACATTAACCAAAAGTTTTTCCATCGAATGTTGTATACGAATAAAACTGAACCTGTAATATCTCTGTTGTAACTCGATGAGACTCGGTTTCTTTCGGATGCATTTTTAGAGAATGACTCTATTTGCACTCGTGCCCAAACATAAGTTAGGCAGTCAATTTTAATACAAGGAAATTTTCAAAACATCTGATTATTTAATAATCCAAAACATAACTAAACATTTAATACAACTGTCATGGGTATTTTAAGTTTGCAAATATATTTTAAAAAGGAAAGGAGAGGAACCGTAAAAATTAGAAGAAATACGTCTTCTCACAATTATAATTCCCAATATTTTTAAGCTAATAATTCTGAATCAAAATTTGGGGGATTGAAGTCCTTTTTGGGAACCATAGGCCGTTCCAAGATCGGCCAGCCAGTGCGCGCAAAATTTACAGCATGGGATGTCAAAAAATACTTCTCCACGAACTGTCTGACGTTGAATTTGAGTTTGCTTCGCATTTTCCTGAAAACATATACATCATAAAACGTAATGTGAATTGTAGATTCAAGATTCAAATTCCATGAACTACACTGAAAGTGGTAATCCAGGATTGCACGAAAGGTTTAAGAAAATATATTAGGATTGCGCGGAAAAGGCACAAGGATTGCGCGAATAGAAACCTTAACATCTGGTTTAGGAATGCGCGAATTTAAAATGAAGTTAATTTACGGTATAAGTTTGGCAAATCAGGAAACGGTTGGAAAATAAACGCATATGTATACTAACGCTAGTTTAGGTTAGTTTGTTGACAAGTCATCGATGTCTTACCTTCTGATGGATGAAGTGAAAAGATAGAATCATAGTCGTGCCGGGTATAAAGAACTTTCCCAAATTTTCTCAGAAAAAAATATTCCATCGGGAGAAACAAGGCAACGTTGGAATGCGCATACAGCGTCGAGACACAACATAGGCCTTTGAAGCTCTATTATTCGATGCCGCGATTATTCTAACGCGAGCTCGATAATCGCGCCAAACACAGTGCGGCCGGCGGCGCGGCGTTGAACGTATATTAGCGCCTGCAAGACTGCATGAATACTTCTCGCATTGCGCTAAACGCAGTGCAGTCTGTCAGTTGGGGCGAAACGCATATTAGCGCATACAAGACGGTAGGAATGCTGGAGGACTGCGTGTCATCATTCTTGACTTTCTGCTCCAGTTTTTATCTTAATTAAAGGGTTAATATGATCCTCATTGTAACAATTCAGAAAATAAGAAGTATGAAAGGAGATCTGCGAAGTTCCAAACCGAGATACGCTTCTCTGCAGTCCCACCGTCTTCGTGTTGAATTCATCCATTCATAAGCCTACATATACGCACAAATAGGCTTAAATTATTCGTCGATTGCACGTAGTTCAATCAGACGCCTAACGAATACAAAATGAACTGACTCAAACTCTAGCCCAATTCTCACACTCGCAGCAGAAGAGAATGAAACGCTGTTGAAAGTTGGCGTGCCCTCGCGCCTTCGGGATTCGATTATGAAATTTCGCTCCATTGCGCTTCCTTGATTGTAACCCCATATAGCTAGGAAGGATGTGTGAAGATGCGGTGACCCACAAGGCAAAGGGCTAGGATGAAAGGGTACGTAATACATGCTTTTAGGCGCAAGTAAGAGGCGCAAAATCGCCAGCGGGTCGATTGTTGAATCGTTATCGAATAACATGATCGATAAATAGCATTACCAAGATAGGGACATATCGATCAAGTTCATTCGGTAAAGAATAATCGACCCACAGGCTACATTAGGAAAATAATTTACCGCCCATCACTTCGCACAGAGAAAATAGGTGGCGGTTCATCACAGTAGCAGCAAAGCTCGTATTTTCTTCATCAAGATGACAGTCCCCAGAGGAAGGGCCTTGGCACTCTATGGTACATTCTTTGCTGAGAAGAGCTCTTTCCTCCATCTCCAAAAATATGTCTCCCAAAAAATGCAGCAAAGCTACTGAATTTCATATTTTCTTCATCGAGATGACATTCCCTAGAGGAGGGGCATTGACACTCTAGGGCGTCTAGGGTACATTTTTTGGTAGGAAGAGCTATTTTGTTACTTGGGTCCCAGAATGACAAGTTAAGAATGCAACAGGAATCACTTTCGGCCCATTTCCAAAAATTTGTTGCAAGCGGTCTGTTTCATTTTTGTGACATTTAAAGGCTCAAAGTATACGGTTTTGAACCTCAAAAATAGGATATTACAGTAATAGCTTCGCTTTAAAACAACAGCTTTTGAACTGAGAAGATCCATACACCTATAACCAGAATTTTGTTTCTTATTACGGTGTCACGTTTGTTTTGTTTTGTTAGGTCAGTACCCTTAAGCTCTAATTCAGACAGTAGTATCAATTTATATGGTGAATATTAGATGCTCACTGCTTAAGCCCCCTATGCCATGAACATTCGTATTTAGAGTGGGAATGTAAAGATCACATATGTTGATTCGTGACTTTAAAGTCAAGCCTCAGTCGTTTTTTTTACTTAAGCTTACAACAATAGCTTCGCCAACATAAATAAGAAGCCATTTCTCATTGACTATTATCTGCCCGCATTCAAGTTAAATTATTTTTTTTTTTTTTTTTTTTTTTTTTTTTTTTTTTTTTTTTTTTTTTTTTTTTTTTTTTTTTTTTTTTTTTTTTTTGCCTAGGTTACAGGATTTTGATGCTATTAAATTCAACCGCTATTACAAAAATACCTCGTGATAGAAAAGAGGAGGGGAGGGAAAGAGGAGTTAGTCCGACGGTTAAACATTTCTGCAATATCGAAAAATCAACGTGTTTAAGGAAGAGATAGGGAGACTACCTAGGAAGCTCCTAACTCTATGCTTCACTTAGTTATTGTTCTGAACAAGTATCTTGTTCGTCAAAGCAACAAGTCCCAAACGACTTGACCGAAGCCCGTGGTAAGTAAAATTTTATTTTTATTCTAGCTAAAATTAAAAATTAAATGAATGAACTATAACAGTAAGTTTTATTTGAAATACGATTTTATAAATTTTAAAACAAATGTAAGTTCAGATAAATTTTTTATTTTATTTACATTCAAAATGGATTTTTACCGTATGTAAAAGTGTGGCTGCAAGGGACATTAAAGTCGTAGGTAGCACCCCTCTCATTTTCTTCACCTAAATAGTCATTAATTGAGTCCTATTTGTTGAATCATAACTTTACCGTCGAAAGTAAAGCGTCTTCATGTTTGCCCGTAGGCAACAAAGACATCCATCGAGTACGAATAGTCGCATCCGAGCGCCGTGTTCTAAACGCACAACGACACAGTATCCCTTCTCTGAGTCACATTCGATGATTAAAACAGGTGCTCAAGAATCATTTCTACCGGATTTTTACGCGCGGCAAGGGCTCAGAGGTGTAAACCGTCATTTTGTGCTCATATAAAAAAATAATTAAATAATATAATAATTCGGAAAGCTGCGCCCATAAACATGATAATGTCTTTAAAAAATATTATCTTTAATTTTTTTTTGGTCACGAAAAATCGGCGACGAAAACGAAAAAATTAAGAAAATATTTTAACCTGATATCCAAGCCCAAAATACTCTACATAGGTATTATTTGAGTATTTTACTCAGATAAGTATTGTAGTCGCGTTGGCGCCTTTGATTGTTGGCACGCACGCGCACTTTTGATTTTTTATTCCATTTTTTTTGCTCTCCCTAACCCCCGCGCCCATTCCAAGGCCACCACAGGCCCCGCGACAGTTGTTTTATCCCGTAATCATTAAACGAAGATAAATACACTTGTTTTGTGTCACTGCGTGACTTGTTCATACATAGAAACTTGTAAAAGAGTTTTTGAGGGGAAACATTTTTTTGTTGGGAATGTACATTTTCCTCTTTCATTTTCGTCATTTGTGCTTCAACGTCAATAGCACCTAAAGACGGATGTTGCTCACATCTTTCATCAGATCATCCAGCAATATTACGACGTAATTAAGTTAAATACACCATACTTTTCATGGGTATGCAAGAGAGTTTTAAAGGAACTCTTTCCTGTGGAAAAAATCATGGCTCATACCTGTCACGGCACGTGAAATATTGCAAAGTGAGAACACCCATAGTGACGTTAATTGTCGCTTTCATTTTCAATGCATGACATTAATACAAGCACATTAAAATATTGTTTTTTCCTTAATTTCTAACCCTGACATGATTAATTTCCTGTTCATGAAATTTTCAGTATATATCTATTCGTTTTTTCCCTTTTTCTCGACACATAGCTCGTTTCCGACTGTTAAAATTTGTCACTGAACCAGTCAACTAAAAACCCCTTGAAGCGATGATGTGTTATTTTTATATCAATTTATTTTTTATGTTGTTTTTAATTCATCTTCAAGCCATCCCCGTGAGTAATTGCTCCCATATATTTTCAATGTTTTCTTTTGTATTGTTGTCCATTCATACTGATACATATATCTGAAATTTTGATTAAGTATGCTCCCAAAATGAGCCAGTTTTCGAATCTCTCCATTAAAGAGCTCTATCTGCAAATGTAAACATGGTCCTGAAGTTAGTGTGAACTTCTTTTTACAGTGTTTGAACGAAAAGAAAACTTAAATTCCTTCAAAATGTCAATGGCAGTGGCTCATTCTACTAATAAATAAATTAATTAATATGGAAATCAAAAATCTATATGCTTGCCTTTTTAAGTGTGACTTTCTCAATTTTTGCGTAATATATAACCTACGTATTAACAAGAGCTGACATATCATTATAGAATACCTTAATAGACAGAATTTGGCGAGACGTTAATATATAGTGAATCTATGTGAGGAAAAAAACACATTGAAAAATTTTCGGTTTATTCGAAACATCAACATTTTCGGTTTGGTTGACTGTGGTTCTTGGTTATAGTAAGAGACAAGACGTTTTTAAAATACCCTGTGTGCAGCACGTGATGTGTGAGTAATTTACATGCTTTTAGTTTTTTACCAATTTTGCATGATGGTGCTGTCAAGACGCCGTAATGGATGAAAAAAATTGCAAATCTAACCACAGAATTACGAAAATAACAAAATTTCTTCTTTGCCGATATGCGGTAATGCTCCTTAGCCATCGATATCTTTTTTGTGTCACGTATACCTGTATTTTCCATAATTTCTCCGCCATCTGTCTCCGAAGATCACCATCGCTCTTCAAAGCGTCACCTCTCGGCCAGAGTATCACAAGCGCCGTTCGATGTTTCAAAATTTCCGATGCCATTTTATTTTTTTTACAGAGAAATCGTTCCGTGTAGCTGTCCTAAAATTTCACTGAATTTTCTTTGTGCTGCCGATGAAATTCAGTAAAATTTTCAAACAGATTAAACAAACAATTTCTCTTTTAATAAATGAAATGGTGGCGAAAATTTTGAAACGTCGCATGGCGCTTGTGATACTTTGGCCGGCAGGTGACAAAAGACTTAGGGGCCTTTCAAGTACACGTAAGGCGTTTTTGCCAACTTTTTGACCCCCTCCCTCTCCCCTGTAAGGCACCTGTAAGAAATCTCTGACCCCCTTTTGAATTACGTAAGATCGGCTGGGGACCCTCCCCCCATTCTTTCAGAAAAAACGGGAAAAGTCTGGTAAAATATCTGGAATAAATTTAAGGCTTTTTGATTAAAATCGGCAAAAAAGCAAATAATTGAAATTTATGTTGGAGTGTTTACAAGTTATGAAAAACCAAAATCGGGTACTTTTGGGGACTTTAAGGGGTGATTTTTCAAGAAAATCGGGGATTTTTTTTACAGCGAAAAGCTCACGCAAGACTCAGCTTGACCCCCCTTTTCCCGTCGTAAGACTCCGCAAGACAAGCTCGGACCCCCTCCTCCCCTAAGTCCCTTGCGTAATACTTGAACTGTCCCTCAAACCTGTGCCCTTATCATGCCGTATCTTTTGGTTCCGTTTGCAGGAAACAAATGCATCCGGAATGTTGCCGCGGACCGCCGAGACCCTACGGAAAGTCCAAACAATGAATATTTGCGGTCATTTGATAGAAAGGTCACCGCCGGAGATGAGAGCTGCCGCGGACGGAGAGTGTGCCCATGCGGCATCAGGATTCCGCGGATTAGCATTCGCATCTCAACAACGGTGTCCGGGCTCGACCGGGGGCAGTTGTCAGGTGGTGAACGGGTGCCCCAAATGCGTGGTATTTGTTAGCAAATGTAAGTTGGCAGCTTGTATCAGCGGAAAACCCGAGAAGCCTGTCGACTTAACTACCTGCGTCGAGGCATTGAATCTCAGCGATATTTGATATAGAGAAGAGTGTTGATAGAGATACACGGAGAAAAATCTATGGTTTTATAAACCAATTGAATCAGTTGAGGACGAAAGCACATACCAACTCGGTAACTCGAAAATGCTCAATTTTCATTGAAGATTGTCAGTTTTATAAAGGTCATTGAATTTAGTGCATTAGCAGCCGGATTGTTGAAACTTTACCTGGCTATGTCGGCACGATAAGACAAGACATAGCCGTACCTTTGCCGTGTAATATATAGATTTTCGATTCTTGTCGTGCCGACATAAATTTCAACAATCGGGTTGCAGTTCCAACTTGGACCTTTAAAGTGTCCTTAAGTACTTGTCTTAAGGCACACAAATCTTTCTCTTGGGCTAACTCCTTCACTTTCTGTGCAGTTTTGTGTGTGTCTTATTAATTGTTCTCATTTTTTCGAATTGATGAGTTTTCGTTCTCACTGATTCAATCAATGATTCATTTAGAATACCACTAATAGTCGTAAATGTACTAATAATTCTTGGTCTGTGAACTATACTAAATAGTAATTCGTACCATACTAAGGTATATGTACTATCACTAAGGTATGTGTGCTATAAACTAACTAACTAACTATTATACCTTACCCTTTACTTCTATTAGTGGTTTATCGTATGAACCACTAATTGATTTATAAGATATAGCTTTTTCTCAATGCACAGGAAAAAGCCGCCCATAAAGTACAGAACGCTTTAGAAGAGGAAGAAGGCCTCATCTTGAGTTAGCAGTGCATACAAGAGGAAGAAAAGTCTAGGACTACGCCTCGTAGCGCTGAGATCAACCCGTGGTGTTTATTTTTCGGAAATTAATTCGGGATGAAACTTCAATCTGAGAAGGCAACTTTTAATCCAAAATTCATCACGAAAGGCCAATTTGAAGAAAATAGGTTAAGCAGAGCGTTATGCTCTTTTTAGAGGGCGCGGATGGACCTGTGTTACAAGTGCATAATACTGGGAGGGGGCTACACAGTCTGATTATCAGCGTTACGTATTTTATGAGCGGGCCGAAAGTTGTACCTTAATTAAATTGCATTGCAGTAAGAATACCTGTGTTGAAAGATCAGATATGCTGTTTTGTATACAAATGCTTATGTAGTTTGAATAAACTCGTTGCTCGGACACATACATTTTAATTAGAGGGGTTTTTCTTTATACATACAAGAAATGAGCGTCCTTCGGTTCTAGCAATCGAAATAATCACTTCTTTTGCCAAATACGTGACTGTAGGGAGAAGGTCGCTGAAATTGGTAATTGAATGGAAAGACGTTTTCAATGTTCAAAATTTCTCCCGAAGATTCCCCTTTTCGTACACAGACGTCTTTTAAAACAAGGGCAGGACTACGCTCAAATCATATATGACAAAAACATTAGATATTGATAAAAATGTAGGCTACATACCGATCCTTTGACGAATATCGTGGTTCTGTAAAATTTATTCGTTTCTTTTGTGAGTAGACCAAGAATGTAGTTCTATGCAATCCTAAAAAAAAGAATATTTTTGGTTGGCTAACTTGATTTAAAATCTATGAATGTCTTTGAAAATGATGGAGGTATTTATTGATTTTTCTCAAGAACTCTGGTTGTGTATACGCTCATGAACACGATTTGCAATCGTTTAATTTGTGACTTGAATCAACGCAAAAAAATCGAGTTGAAATATATCAGTACCCCCGATTCAAGAGGTTATAAACTCCTTTTCAAAAACGGGATACCAGGAGAAAAACGCGCGTCGGTTACATTGATTCCAATAAAAATTACAATTTTTGAAACTTCGTATCTTAGAACCGGCGTAAGATAGGGATACCAAATTTTCCTTAGACACGGAACCGGTATCAAAAAGGTCTAAAACACCACTAATACGATTTTCCCAATGATGTAAGTTAGGTACCTTTCGACTCTGAGGTACCGATAAAAACCTAAAGAGGGGTACATTGATGGCTGAAGTCGAAAAAGTGCGCATTTATTATTGTGACGCGTTGAAGATCTCAGCTCGTTTTGCTTCTTTTAAAGAAAAGTATCCAACAGTTTCTTCGGTGAATTTCATCAGTTATTCGAAAATATATAGGGAAAATTTCGGGGTGATATTTTAATTAAATTCCGTTTTTAAAATTATACACATTTGGATATTTTTAAACGTTGCTCTGAAGATGCGTCTTTTTCGACTATAGCCACATGGATATCCTGGAATTATAGTCATAAAATAAAAAAAACGTTTAAAAAATGGTGATATTAGCCGTCAGTCAAATGCTTGTCATTTTATTCGATTTTTTTCTCAAATAATTTGCTTGGAAAAATCTATAGTTATTTTTGTTTTTTATGGTGAGAATTGGAAGGGAGCCATAAATAATGAGGCATCGTCTAAGTGTCGCAGCGATTTAAGCCTTCGTCCCACCATTCAGAGTTGGCAGGGCGGTCAAGACATCTTCGCAGTTTGACGCGCCTTCAATCCGGCGAAGCTGTAACATGTTTACACCCGTGGTCAAATAGTTGTATGTCACGCCTGCCGTAAACGAACTCAAATATCGATGGTTCCACCGGAAAAGGAGCTTATTTCCCTCGATTGCAACGTTGCAAACCACAGTTAATGCTTCAATATCAATCAATATCTTTAAGAAGTCGGCGCACAGATTCTCTGAAAAATGTTTACCAATATTATGAAAGATTTTTATTGAAATCACAGGAATTTGCGTCGCAATATTATATTTAATCCTATTATCCTTTTTTTTTACCGATTCCGATTTAGCCGATCGTGCATAAGCACGATCGGCTGTTTGGTCCTTACGGTTCTGTCCTACTGTTTGGTCCTGACGGTCCTCTAGGTTTTCTATGGAATTTTAGGGTAAGCATGAACTATACCTGTATGGGCGGAACAAGGATCATTTTGTGAGAGGGCCTCGCGGGGCTTAGAGGATTCTCCCAGCCTACTAGGCGATTCGGAATTTGGAGGCCTCCCTTGGAAAATGCTGAAAAATTGAATTGTCTAACGGCAATTTTGAGCCGTTCTTGCCAACGTAATCGATTGAATTTAAATTTTGAATGTTGAAAAATATGTCACACACTTGATTAGCAAAATGCATCACATTTGAGAGGGGAGGCGAGTAGATATCTGTGGGGTAGTTGCCGCCCCCGGCCTCATACTACTTCTGCCTATGACGACCTGAAACCTCCTTGGCAATATGAGCTGAGTTTGGCTATTTACTCACGCACTTTTTCACGCTCTCACATAGGCGCAACGTCAGCGATTCCAGCAAGTTAGCAACACTATTAACAATCCATTTAAATCAATTGAATATATCGATTCTGGGTGAGGCAGCCTATCTCACCTAGAATCGATTCTTTGACACATATTTGAATGAAGGGAATACAGTATTGCCACTGCGTATTGTAATTTGTTTTCCCTCCTCTATTCTTTGAAATGCTATACACCGCATCGCCTATTTTCCTATACAAAAGGCTACAAGAAACCTTTCAACCTTTTTCACCGAAAATATCGACCCAGAGGAATTTGAAGCTGATAGTGAGTCAATGAAAACCTTCGTATTTGGGTGACATGGGTCCCATGTATCCTGTGATTGTTTCCCCGCGACGAAAATTCCAGCCTGGAATATTTCCTACGATCCAGTGTTGTCTCTGCGCTGGTTTTTTACCGACAGCGACAGGGATATCAGGATCTGAAAAAAGCGGAAATATCGATAGTTAAAAAGGAGCAGGTTGTTTAATTACTTGGTGCCTGTTTTGGAAAAATTTACAAGAGGGCCTTTCATTGACCTTGGCCGTAAATCTCTTTTGGAATTCGTTTGAATTGTGGAAACCTACACTATTAAAAATCCCACGCTTATTCAGCGAAACTCACGCTTATTCAGTTGCTATTTTGACCACCTGTAACACTGAGTGCATGGCTCCGGCGCAAAATAAGCTCGGTGCGAATTTCGCGCTATGGCGGGAGTGAAAATTTGACAGGCAAACGTAAAACAGAATCGCCGCAGCATGGAATTGTACTCGAGTCGCGGCGGTGAGAGACGAGTGCACATTCAAAGACTTTGCCATTCGGTGCTCGTACCAGGAGGCCCTGAATTCACGCTACTTGAGGTACCTCAACTAATTCGTCCGTCGTTGGTGATATTTACGCTCTGATCTATTCACTCAGAGCACGGCGCGATATTCGCGCTGGATTTTTACTTTCTCGCTCCCCTAGGGTAGAGAGGAAGTATTGTCATCCTCCAAGAAAAAAAAAAAAAAAAAGTTGAAATTTCATCATTTCTAGACGTTTTAAGGTCCCAGGAGTAAAAATAACCATACTTGAAAAAATGTGTGTCCGTCCGTGTGGCGTCCCCCAAATCTGTGTACAGCGATATCTCAGAATCTATCTGTTCGATTTCATTCAAAATTGGCACAGGACACCATATCTATGGTCTCCTTATGCACGTCCAACGATTTTGAGGTACGCTAAAATTTGGGGGGGCTACGCTCAATTGTCCATTTTTAGCAAAATCACACGGAAAGCTCATTTTGAGGGACTGTAAATTTTAAAAAATGCCTTTAATTCTTTAAAATTGGGCATCAAGCACATCACCTGGGTCATTAATTTAAGATCCTAAAAGATCTTTGGACTAAACTCAAAATTCAAGGGATTACGAGGCCCAAAAGTAGGGCACTTTGCTCCGCGACATTCCACAAACAACTCATTTTCAAAGACTGTAAATTTGAAAAAAAATGCCTTTCATTTCTTCGAAAGTTGGCATAAGAGCACCACCTGGTTCAATAATGTAAGTTCCTATGAGGTCTTTGGACTAAACTAAAAATTGAAGGGTTGCGCGTCATATAGCGAGGAGAGCACTTCGGTCACACGGAGAGCTCATGGACTGTAGATTTTGAAAAAAATGCCTTTAATTCTTTGAAAGTTGGCTCAAAAGCACCATCTGAGTCATTAATTTAAGTTCCTAAAGGATTCTTGGACTAATCTCATAATTGCAGAGGGGCCGATAGGAGACGCTCAATTCTCTGATAAATGAGTCGGAACGCTTCTAGATAATAGCAGCAAACGCTTTGAGTCAGGTGAAACCTAGGAATTCAAATGCATTATATAATGCATCATATACTATTTCCAAAATTACTCCGTAGGTATACACAAAGCAAAATTAGACAACTAATTAGGTACATACTCACATTACAAAGGTACAATGAATCATCAAGCTAACGCCAAGAACTGACACTTAGATCTTTATTAAAAACTAATATGTTTGTTGTTAATGAATTTAGAATCCCGGCAGATTCCATCTTTTGCGGTTCCTTTTTACGAGGTACTAAGCACAAATATAATATAATAATTCGGCACAAATATGACTGATTTAATGCTTGTTAATAAAGGAGGTTATAATTGTTATAACCTGTTTGTTGGCGTTTATCGACAGCAGCAAGGAGATCGCGCGCAGCGCTCTCTATTGTTTTCGCTTTGAATTACGGGAATACGCGGTAAGGAGATGGCGCTCCTGGCGGGCAAGTGGTGAACCTTCCAGCAGGTAGATTCGCCCGCCAAATTTAAAATTTGGGAGATGCTAAGCGAAAACCGTTTAGTTTTAAGACTATTTGAACATCGAATAGTCATTCTACCCATTCAAGTAGATATTTGATGGCTTTTGACCGTGCTTAAGGAGAGATTATAATATAAAATCGTATCTGAAGTATGATGTCAATGAATCTAATGGATCCTAATGAATCGTAGAAAAGCTAAGATTTTTACGGATCGCCATCTTTGACAGGAGACTTTGTTAATCAATTACATATTTAATTGAAGATGCCTCATAAAATCAACAAGTCGAGTCCGAATATATGAATTCATCACATATCGCGAAGACATTTACAATAAAGTTCAGTGGTTTGAATAAAAATTTCATAACTATTATCCTGTGATCAAAATCCCAATCAAACTTTATGATTTTGTAAAATTGGCAGTATTTTCCTAAATATTCCAGTAAAAGTGTCAATGCCGGCGCGAAGCGCCGGCTCGAGCGAGAAAGTCCCGTGCGGTCCCCGCACCAATCCGCTAAGCGGATGGGGGGGCGAAGCCCCCCAAATGCCGGCGCGTAGCGCCGGTACGCGGCGCGAAGCGCCGCGCATAAATTGGCCGGAGGCCAATTTTTTTTTTCCACGCCGGCTATTGACTCAGAGTAAATGATTGATTTAGCGAACGTCGCTCCTCTGACGTGAGGTCGTATTTCTATTTACACATGAGCCTCAAAAAGCACGGAGTTATATGTACGACAAGGCTCATTTGGCAATCGAGATACGCTCCTACGTCAGAGGAGGGACGATAAGAGCAAACGGAATATCATGTGAGTCAGCGCGGCATTGTTAATAGAAATCAAATAAAATCATTCAATTTTGGTAACGAAAATTTTTGTTAGAACAGCTGTAGGATTGAGTTATTAAACAGAAACGCACCAAATTTCATCGAGTTTTATGTGAAAAAGGAGGTTTTGGATTATTTTTCCTCCTAAAACTAGATGCTAAGGATGAAGTTAAACGACTTTTTCATTTTACTTTCGGACAAGCAAAAATGTACAACTGGTTGAATACAAAATTATTCTTAACGCATTTTCTTCCAAAATGCGACTTGCCGCGTTTGTTTTAAACTCAACCCAGTTTGCATTTGGTTTATTTTGATTGGATCATGAGAGTTTCTAGTCGGGGCGAACAAGTTTAGAAATTTTGGTGAAAAATCGGGTCAGTACTACGTTTGAGCCCATGCATTCTATGAAAATAAGGGCTCATAATGAATATGTTATTTTGACTTTTTGGGTAGTGTAAAATTTTAGATCTCTTTTCCTCGATGTGCTCTGGAGGTGGAGTGATTTTATCCGTTTGATCCGATAATTCATAAGCATTGCCTGTTACACAAGCTGCCAGAGATGACAAGCAATTAATCAGGCTGAGCGCTGTGCTGTTTCGACACTGTTTGATATGAAAAAAGTAAAAATTACTCACCAACCATCAGCAACGTGTAAAAAATTCCATTTTTCGTGGGCCATTTAACCTTTGGCACTAATTTCATGTCTATAGGGTCTAACTTGTTACCCATCTCAACGATCACATTGTTTCTGTAGGCGACCTTAAGAATAGAGAAATGTTCATTGTAAAATGGGTTGCTGAATTAAATAAATGAACTTTAATTCACACAGAAAGCATAAGAGCTTAAAAAATTGTTTATGTGAAATTCATCGTGTGAACATGCATCCAAGGGCAAAACAACTTCCGTTCGGATTAGAAATTTTCCAGGAGAGCAGCATTTGTAAAGCTAAGTTAAAAAAAACAGGAATTTGAATTTTCGCCAAAAGACACAATATTGCATCTCAAGGAGCAAGTAATGTAAATTTTATTTTTGTGCTAATAATATTTGTAGTTGAAAGTTTTGAGGTCTTACCCTTTTCCATTAAAGGGTTATGACAGACGAGGTAGCAATTTTTTTTTTTTTAGTTTATTTGGCTTCTATTCCTGTTTATTTAGTAACATAGGAGTCTACAGCCATCTACAGACATGAGTTTTAACAAAGAGATTACTTTATATTTAGTAGACATCAGGGGGATTTTGACAATCTATGCTCCGTCTTTACCATTTGCAGGGATCAAGGTCGAATAGAATCTGTTTCTGCAGATCCATTCGTCAGCTCAGTGAAAATTTTTCGCCACCACCGGGATTCGAACCCGGACCTGTTGGTCTCGGTAGCAATTCGCAGATCCAGATTGCAGAATGGTTTACGAGAATACATAAACTGTATCTACTTAAGAATTGACCAATTATTTAAGTCGCTATGTGAGTAAGCAAACTCTTGTGAGTAATTTTATCGGCGAAGAACTTGTCAGAAAACAAAATAAACTCTCCATGCATGAGATATGAACGAACGTGTAGCAAAAACTTACGTCCATAACGAACTTAGGTGCTTCGTCAATGATGTCCGGAATGATTTTATATCGACGAAGTATCCGATCGACATCCAGAGCTTTTGGTAAAACTGTCTTAAAAACGCACACAACTAATAAGCTGATGACTAAAGAAAATTGCTCGACGCAACGATTCGCCGGTTTTTGTTTTCTTCGAGTCATTTTAAAGTTATTAATTCCTCGATCATATCTCTGAAATACATTTGAAATACATAAAAAACAACCTAAATGCTTCGTTTAATGCACAGGCTCATACTCAATGAGACGCGGTAAATGTATTCTAAGAGGCGATTAACAGAACAAAACTGAAGCAACTGAAAGCTTCTGAAACCAGAAATTTGAGAACGGACAAAAAGTTTCGGCAGAGGAAATCAAGGTATGGAATCAAGGTATGGTCCATCTTAGGAACTTGGTATTTGACTGAATTCTATTATTATTTCTTAGAATAATGTCCAATTATTTCCAGAACAGACAGAATGATGGCGACATACTCTTATGGGAAAATTCTGTTGAGCAAATTTTGAACCAAAATTAGTACAAATACCATTGAATTTCATAAAATCGTCGTTGACAATATGTATAATAGGTCTCTTACGCAAAAGAGATACCGTCAACTACTTAGGTACTCTATAAATTAGTAAATACGCACAATTTGAGCGATAATTTGAGCGACAAGTTTCGCGATTTTGGTACGATTTCATCCAAATTATAGTCAGTTGTCTGTGTTTCTTTGA